TTGCCGGGAATATTGAAAAAAAAGAACAAAAAATGTGCTTATATTTTTCTCTTCCTTTTAGAAAGTAGATTAAAAAAATGTGCTTATATTTTTCTCTTCCTTTTAGAAAGTAGACTAAAAAAATTGTGCTTATATTTTTCTCTTCCTTTTAGAAAGTAGATAAAAAAAATGTGCTTATATTTTTCTCTTCCTTTTATAAAGTAGGTTTTGTGTGGCGGCTTTGTGTGTTTTTTTTATATTAGAAGTATAAGGTTAGAATTTGAAAGAACAAAGCTGTGTAATGGACGAAGATGGGAAATAAAGTGTCATGTGTTTTCAAAGTTCAGGGAAGCTGGATTATTTTGTGTATTTTTTTTTTTTTTATATAAGAAACGAACATACGAGGCTGGGTATAATTATGTGCGTGCGTATATATGTTTTTGAAGCGAGTTAAATAATTAAAGATTCAGATCAGGGAGTTAAATTTATTGTGGAAGATTTTGTGAAGGCTGCCTTGACTATATTAACGATTTTCAGGAAAGATAACTTGATATATATGGTGTCATGAAAAGGTGTTAGAGAGAGAGAGAGAGAGAGAGAGTGTGTGAGTTTGTGAGTGTGTGAGTGTGTGAGTGTGTGAGTGTGTGAGTGTGTGAGTGTGTGAGTGTGTGAGTGTGTGAGTGTGTGAGTGTGTGAGTGTGTGAGTGTGTGAGTGTGTGTGTGTGTGTGTGTGTGTGTGTGTGTGTGTGTGTGTGTGTGTGTGTGTGTGTGTGTGTGTGTGTGTGTGTGTGTGTGTGTGTGTGTGTGTGTGTGTAAGGCAAATGCTGGTAATATATATTTATGTTTAGTTTGAGGTATAAATTTCGTTTTCTGAAGGATGATATATAAACACTTTATTGTTATGTAAGGTGTTACGTGTTGTCATTTCATAACAACTGGATATTTCAGATATTTGCCAGTAGCTAAAGGATTTGGAGACGTCCATTAAATGTATTTTTAAATTAAGACCGTACGTTTATCTTTTAACCTCTAATGATTTCGTTATTATAATAAGTGTGCTTTCTGCTAGTAAAACATGAGTATATTTATTTTTTTGTGATTTCTTAAATTGTATTTAAATCGTTAATGTTTGAATAAATTAACCAGTATTTTATTTTAACCGTTTTCTTTATCTCACAAACAATACAAGGCATCTTCTAATATACATACTATAGTTAAATGCTAATCTAATCAGATAGAGGAATCTATTGTCATTCAATCCGGTCATGCAAAGATAAAGTAAATAACATGGCGTTATCTCTTCAACAAAAACAAACGGAATGTTTCACAGTTTCTACAATCCGACCAACTAAACACAAACTTCAAACTATCCAAAACACAGTCACCCACACAATCCCCTAACCGAACATCCATCTATGAATCATAACCAAATGATTCACCTTTCGAAATTAAGATAAAAAAGTGATTTAATTAAGTTCTGATTTGACTTCCAACTCGACGTCGTCTGCTGCGAGCTCTTGACGCGACCTGTGTGACCTTGGGCGCCGTCAGAGGTGAGTCTCCGTCGCTGACCTTCCCTCACTCGGATTTTGTGCCACCGGTCGATAATTGATAATCAGAGTGAATTAGGGGCATGTGATGATTGTGTTGTGTGTTCTTTATTGTTGGGGTATTTTATTGATGTAGCCGGATTCGATATCTTCTTGTTTGGCGTTTTGTGGTGTTGAATGAGCGATTTTTTTTTTTTTTTTTTTTTTTTAGGAACGTGAATGTCAAGGGTGTTACTGTATTTCTGTCTCTCTCATGATAGTGGTTGCCGCGCGGTAGTGGTGCGAGATAAACGCATCTCTACGTGAACTCGTGACTTCTAAACATTTATAGATGAAACCTGTTCCTTATTATTATTATTATTATTATTTTACTTGTAGTAATACATTTATAGATGAAATGTGTTACTGTTAACGAACTAGGCCGTTCCCTCTCTTTTGTTGAATACGGTCTATAGATAGATGTATTTGAAACCGGTATAGATTTCTGTTACTGAATCCCCAAGGTGTATATTTTTAAATGTTTTAGCGCGATGAAATAAAACCGTTCCGTTACCATTGCAATTATTGATGTACAGACATAAAGAAAACATAGTATAGTATTTCATTTTTCCTTCTCTTACCTGATGCTTGCATGACTGGTTCTGGTCATGCAAAACGAGACATATTGTGGTTTTGCGTTGTAGGCCTACCTGGGTTTGTGGTTTCATGATGTCAATGAGTTAGATTTAGTTTATTGATGAAGAAGTACGTGGTATGTGTGTGTATATATGTATACACATACACACATCACGCATACACACATTGCACAAAATTACAACCGTGGCTTACGGGATATTGGCGTCTTGTACATGTGTGTTTGTTCGGATACGTGAACACTGAATCCTAAAGTGTATTTCATGAAATAATGTATGAACATTGTATTTATAGTTTTTAAAAAAATCGTGACGCAGTTTGTTAAGTTTTCTTCTGCGTCTTCAACTTTAACGGAACTTCCAAACACATTAAAAAGGAGCATTTTATTATGCACTTACCGTTTTCTTGCTTGTGTAATGTGTGCCAAATATTCTCTCCCCCCCTCTCTCTCTTTCTCTTTTATTTCCTTACGTCCTCGAATAACGAGTCACTTTGTAAGTTCACAAAGAAAAGGGGTGTGGTTGTCAGGCATGGGCAAGAGGTGTGCCCGTGAGCAGTACCTGGTGCCAACGGTGCCAGGAGATGCACAGTGTCTAGTAGTGCCAAACCTGTGCTGATCCTGCAGTGCCAGTCCTCTCTCTCACTCCTTCCCTCACTTCACCTTTTCCTCTCTCTTCCTTTCCTTCTATCATATTCCTTCCTTCACTTTCTCACTTCTCCTTCCTCTCCCTCTGTCACTCCTTCCCTTATGCTTTTTTTTTTCATTTATCTCTCTCCTTCCTTTTTTTTTTCCTCACACCCCCTTCTTTCCTTCTCTCTCATCTTCATTCCTTCCTTCCTTCTCTCTCTCCCTCCTCTCTCTTCCTAGCTTCTCTATTCTCTTCCTTTTACTTTCCTTCTCTTTCTTCTTCCTTCCTGTCTTCACTCTACCATTTCTCCTCTGTCTCTTTCTCTTCTTTACTCAATGCCTTTAGATGCAAACACACAAAACGGAACAAATAAGACAATAATACTGAAGTAACTGATAAAGAGAGGCCGTTTTTTTCTTCTTTTTTGATACATTGAATTTAATTAACAGACCCCCCCCCCCAATCCAAAATACTTGAGTTTACGGCAAAAAAAGAAAAACTTAAGACACAAGTTTAAGGAAATTTCGAAATCTCGTAAGAGGTTCAAGCATATGAAAAATATGATCATCATTAGAATAATTTTCTCTATAGTTTTAACCTTTACTTGAATATGTTGATGTACGAGTATGTGGTGTGCTGTGGATGATTTGGCTTCTACAATCCGTTCGGCTTTAACGCCCAGCACCCAGCTTTAATAAAAATCATGGAGGGGTATGTGCTTGTGGTTTACGAATGCCTGGCAATTTTTTCTTTCTGATTTAGTTAATATTTATTCTGATAATATTTTTGTTATTGTTTCTAATGTTACTGTTGTTGTTAGTATCATTATCATTAATTGATGATGATGATAGTAATGATGATTATTATTATTATTTTTACCATTATTATTACTATTATTATTGTTGTTATTATTACTTTTATTATCATCATCCTCATCGTCATCATCATTGTTATTCTTGTTGTTGCTGTTATTATTTTGTTATTAGTTTTACTGTTGTTGCTATTATTATTGTTGTCATTGTTATCATTGTTTTATTATTGTTAATGTTATGAATAGTATTTACGAGACTAGATCGTGACTGACAGCGGTTTCCGAACACCTGATACGTTTTTCGCTCGTCTCAGTTTCCTGTTCATTTTTTTTCTTTCTTTCTTTCTTTTCTTCTTTTTTTTCTGTTTTGCTTACTTTTTAGTGTCTCTATTAGTTTGTCTGTCTTTGCTTCGTCCTTTCGATTAGTTTTTGCATATACCTGCTTCTGTGTCTATTTGTAATGCTCCCTCCCTCTCTTCCTCCTTTCTCTATCTTCCTTTCTTTTTGTCTCTCTCCTTATTTCCTTTTCTCTCTTTCGTTCCCTATACAAATATACACACATGTACACACACACACACACGCACACACACACACACACACACACACACACATACACACACACACACACACACACAAACGCAAACTGTCTGTTTATTAATCTATCAATATATATCTTATATCAATGTTCTCTCAGTGTCTTTCCGCCTATCTAAGGCTATGTCTCTACTTCTGCCTCCTGCCCCCCTCTCTCTTCTCCACTTTTCTCCCTTTCCCTCTTTCTCTTTCTCGCTCTCCCTCTACCCCCCTCTCTTTTTTTCTTTCTTTCTTTCCTCCCTCTCTCTTTCCCTCCCTTCATATCTCCCTCTTCCTCCTCCCTCCCCTGCCTCTCATCCTCCATCTATCCCACTTCCTTTATAGCCCCCCCCCCCTATCCCCCACGCACTCCTTCATACGAACATACGAACAGCGTTGTATTTTCTGACGCAGCGAAGACCTCTCCAGCGGGTTGGTCGATGCGTGCTCCGTTGGCTTGAGGATGGAGCTGGAAGTTTCCGCTTTGCGTCGGATACTTGGATATTTGCATACGTAGAGACTGGGATATGTGGGTATATGGATACATAGAGACTGGGATACGTGGGCGTGTGGGTGCATGGATATTTGGATACGTAGACGCTCTGATACATGGGCGTTTGGATACGTAGAGAATGGGATACATGGGCAATTGGTTACAAATAAACTAGGATACTTGGATATATAGAGACTGGAATATATGGACATTTGGATACATAGGCACTGGGATACACAAAGACTAGGATACTTTGACATTTGGGTACATAGAGACTGGGTTGTGTGGACACTTGTATACATGAACATTGAGACGGGGCTATATGTGGCCAG